TTTCTCCCCCCCCCCATGCGCCCGGGGCCGGCTCCGGCACTGCGCATGCGCCACGTGCCCGGGGCCAGGCCAGCCCTGAGCACTTGGCGGGCGCAGAGAAATGCCCCCGCGGGTGCCATGGTGCCGACGGGCACCGTGTTGGGGACCACGGTATTAGATGATGAGCTTTCGTGGGCCAGACCCACTTCCTCAGATCAAATAGTGGAAGAAAATAGTCATAACCACTATTTGATTTGTAGTCCTGTATTTTGTTTCAGCTACACCAGACTAACATGGCTACATTTCTATTACTATTTGTTTTGTTAGTCTTTAAGGTGCTACTAGACCATGGGTTTCCAAACTGAGGGGCATGCCCCACTGGGGGGGGGCGTTAAGAAATTCCAGAGAGAGTGCAACGCGACCTCCGCATACCTCCCTCCCCCCCGTCAATCTCCTCCTCCCTAAGTTTTCCTGCTATGTTTGTTTTTCGGCCCCCATCAGTCCCCCCCCCCTTGTTTTTGCTCAACAAGTTTTGCTGCTATTGGAGGGGGGGCATGGGGGACGTGAGGGTTTCTCAAAAATCAAAAAGGGGGCACGGTGCTGAAAAGTTTGGGAACTACTGTACTAGACTATTTTTTGTTTTTTAAATTTAACCTGCCGTTTGTTATTGTTAATTCCCCTTCCCCTCCCTCTTTTTATAACAAACTCCCTACTCCAAAGGCAAAGCTGCAAGCAGCCTGAAGTGTTGCATTTGAGAACTACCTCTAGAGTCAGGGCATGGGCTTTAGGCAGAATCCAAGCATGAAATCCAGGGGTTCAAACTCAGGAGGTGGAGCTACTGCTCCCTAGCTTCCCCTAAATGGCACCCCTGTCTACATCATCCTTTATAGATGTCTATCCAACCTGCTCTTAAACATCTCGGGTACGTCTAGACTGGCATGATTTTCCGCAAATGCTTTTAACGGAAAAGTTTTCCGTTAAAAGCATTTGTGGAAAAGAGCATCTAGATTGGCACGGACGCTTTTCCGCAAAAGCACTTTTTGCGGAAAAGTGTCCGTGCCAATCTAGACACGCTTTTCCGCAAAAAAGCTCCGATCGCCATTTTCGCAATCGGGGCTTTTTTGCACAAAACAAATCTGAGCTGTCTACACTGGCCCTTTTGCTCAAAAACTTTGCGCAAAAGGACTTTTGCCCAAACAGGAGCAGCATAGTATTTTCACAAGAAGCATTGATTTCAGACAGTAGGAAGTCAGCGTTCTTGCAGAAATTCAAGCAGCCAGTCTAGACACAGCTCTCCAGTGATGGAGATTCCACAACCTCACTAGACAATTTATTCCAGTGTTTAACTACTCTGACAGTTAGGAAGTTTTTCCTAATATCCAACCTAAACCTCCCTTGCTGCAGTTTAAACCCATTGCTTCTTGTCCTATCATCAGAGGCCAAGGAGAACAATTTTTTCCCTCCTTCATATAACACCCTTTTAGATTCTTGAAATAGTGATTATGTCCCCTCTCGGTCTTCTCTTTTCTAAACTAAACAAGCCTAATTCCTTCAATCTTCCCTCATAGCTCATGTTTTCTAGACCTTTAATCATTCTTGTTGCTCTTCTCTGAACCTTCTACAATTCTCCACATTTTTCTTGAAATGTGCCCAGAACTGGACACAATACTTCAATTGAGGCCTAATCAGTGCAGAGTAGAGCGGCAGAGTTACTCCACATGTCTTGCTCACAACATTCCTGTTAATGCATCCCAGAATCATGTTTGCTTTTTTTGCAACAGTGTCACACTATTGACTCATATTTAGTTTGTGGTCCACTATGACCGTAGATCTCTTTCTGCAGTCGCTTCCCATACTGTAGGTGTGAAATTGATTATTCTTCCTAAGTGGAGTAATTTGCATTTGTCCTTATTAAACTTCATCCTATTTACCTCAGACCATTTCTCCAGTTTGTCCAGATCATTTTGAATTATGACCCTATTCTCCAAAGCAGTTGCAACCCCTCCCAGCTTGGAATCCTCTGCTAACTTAATAAGCGTACTCTCTTTGCCAATATCTAAATTGTTGATGAAGATATTGAACAGAACTGGTCCCAAAACAGACCCCTGCGGAACTCTACTTTTTATGACCACCCAGCATGACCGAATCATTAATAACAACTCTCTGAGAATGGTAATTCAGCCAGTTATGCACCCACCTTACAGTAGCTCCATCTAGGTTTTATTTCCCTAATTTATTGATAAGAAGGTGACAGGAGAGGCCTGAGGCCGGCTGCGGCAGCTGGTGCCCCAGGCGGAGTGCGCAACTCGCACCCCCACCTGCAGGGCCGTCAATGGCCTGATGTCATCGGCGGGCACCCCGGGCGCCCCCGTGACGTTATCATTGGGCGACCCGGGCGGCAGCAGCCAAGTCCGTCTATAGCCATGGGCCGCCCCTTAAAGTCATGCGAGACTATATCAAATGCTTTACTAAAGTCTAGGTATACCACATCCATTACTTTTCCCTTATCCACAAGACTTGTTATCTTATCAAAGAAAGCTATCAGATTGGTTTGTGGTGATTTGTTCTTTACAACTCCATGCTGGCTGTTACCTGTTACCTTATTATCTTTCAGATGTTTGCAAATTGATTCCTTAATTACTTGCTCCATTATCTTTCCTGGCATATAAATTAAACTGGCTGCACTGTAGTTTCCTGGGTTGTTCTTATTTCCTTTTTTATAGATAGGCACTATATTTGCCCTTTTTCAGTCTTCTGCTATCTTCCCCCGACTTCCATGACTTTTCAAAGATGATAGCTAAAGGCTCAGGAACCTCCTCTATCAACCTCCATTATTGCCTTTGCAGTAGAACCTCATAGTTTCACACTCTGGACACAGTTTATAATTGACTGAATGTTGCAAATTAGTAAATAATGAATAATAAATAATAAAATAACAAATAATAAAAATATGATGATCCCGAAGGATGTACTTTGTTCATGTACTTAGGCTATTGCAGTTTAATTTAAATTATTTATAGTACTTTACAATGTAGGTATCCCTAATGTAAAAATATACTTAGCATATTTTGTAAAAATATTATAAGGTATTAAAGACAAATTAAACACTAATGCAGGACATAACTCTATGAAAGTTAATAAAGATGTATTTGTACACATCAGAGGTGAATATAGCCCTTAATAAAAGGAGATATGACTACAACAGTGTTTCCCAACCAGTGGTACGAGTACCCTTAGGGGTATTAGAGAGAATTCTGGGGGGTATGTGTGACAGGGTGTTTGCCTTGCACTGGCCTTTTAAGGGCAAAACCCCAGCCCTGAGTGAGGGCTGAGAGCAAAGCCCCAGCTGAGGCAGCTCTTGCTAATGAGGCTATATAAAGAAGGGCTCCTGGGCTATGTCTACACTGGCAGGTTCTTGAACAAGAACATCTTGTGCAAGAACACGTTCACACTGCCATGTGCTTTTGTGTAAGTGCATCCATGGCATTGTGGATGCTCTCTTGTGCAAAAAGCTTTGATGGCCATTTTAGCCATAGGGCTTTCTTATGCAAGAAACCCCTGCCTCGTGTCCACACTGCCCTCTTGTGCAAGAGCTCTTGTGTAAGAGAGCGTACACTTGTTAGAAAAGAGTGTAGCTCTTGCACAAGAAGCCCTCTCTTACCACGCTTTACTGTAGATCTTCTTGCGCAAGGGCAGGCAGTATGGACGCTCTGCGGAAGAACAGACGTTCTTGTGCAAGAATCCGCCAGTGTAGACATAGACCAGCTGGAGGGAGAACTGACTGCTGCTCTGGAGAGAGCAGTAGGGAAAATGATTGCCAGGGAAGCAGGAGGCTTCCTAGAGATGGAGCAGTGCTGCGGAAGGAAGGCAGGGCTGGGGAGGCTCTGGCCAACCAAACTCCCAGGCTGCATGGCCTCAAGCTACTGGAGCTGTAAGGGGTAGGCAAGGTCCTCCTCCCCCATGCACCTCTCATGCACCAGAGCCCCACACTTGCCTACTCCTCCCCCTTCCTCCCAGCACTTTTGGAGTATGCAAATCGCTTGATTCATGCTCCGTCCCAGTTCCTCCCCCTCCCTTCCAGAGCTGGGACACCACAAATAGCTGATTTGCGGCATTCTATCTCTGTGAGGGAGGGGGAGGAGTGGGGACAGAGGGTGAATAAGGCAATTTGCAGCTTCTCTGAAAGGGCGCGGGAGGAAGGGAGGAGGAGAGCAGAAAGTGCAGGGCACCGGTGCATGATTGATACGTGGGGGAGGGGTGCAGCCAGGGGATCTGCTGGTTGCAGGTGGAGCCCCAGAGGGCCGCATGCAGTCTGTGGGCCACAGATTGCCCACTGCTGATCTAGCTGCTACATGAAACAGTTACCTTGTTCAGATCTATCTTTTGTTTCTCTGTGAAATTCCCATCATTGTGTTTGAGATCTTTCAGGATCACGATCTGGAAAGAAGAAACAACTGAAAGAAAACCATAGCAGTAGTACAACCATCCATGCTCCCTTAAACTACTGGTATTTAAGTACAACCTTATCCACTAATAAACAATGGATTATTACATTACTGTTAACAATATTTACCAAGTTGATAGGTTCTTTTGTCCTGGAACAGACTAAGGGGCTGATCTTTCAAACCCTTCATTCATGAGTGACCTTACTCAAGCAAAAAGTTCAACTGAAATTTAGGGAACTTCAGACACAAATAAACAAACAAATAAATAAATAAATAAATTTTAAAGACAATCTTTCTAAAAGCTCACCAAAAGACTGAAAATAAAGTTTTCACATACCAATTCAGGACAAAGATTGAATAGCTAACTGTTTGCAACTGCCTTGAATTGTACTTAGCCATCCAATCTTTCTCCTCAATTGGTAGCTGGTAGCAGGATGAAGCCTGGTGAGGGGGGACCGTGAGCTGTAGGGGGGCTGGGATGAAGCCTGGCAAAGGCCCCATGTAGGAGGTGACGGGGGTGGGCTCCCAGGAGGGCTGGGTGCCGGAGTTGGCAGAGTCGGCTTGTGGGGGGGGGCACCCTGCCGGGGGGCCATGAGCCACGCAGTGCAAAGCCACATAGGCCAGGAGCTGTGTGGCGCAGCACAGAGGCAGGCAGGCCAGGGGGCAGGGGCGGCCTGCTGGGAGGGGGGGTCTCTGAGCTGAAGCTGGTGGGGACATCCTGCTAAGGGGGGGCAGGAGCTGGTTAGCAGGCTGCCTAGGGGGGCCAAGACCCAGAGCTGGCAACACAGAGGCAGGCGGGCCCGCATATAGGAAATGGCGGGCTGCCTGCCTCATCAAGGGAGCCATGCGGCAGAGCACACATGTGCATGCCTGCAGGAGCTGCTGCAGGAGCTGGTAAGGATGGCCAGCACATATGCAGGCAGGGCAAAGTGAATGCGCAGGAGGGGAAAGTTGAAAATTCTGTGACAGACAGACAAGAACTATTACTTAATAGAAAGACTGTCTAATAATAAGAGTCCTCCTTTGCTCCTCTAGTGCATTAATTTACCTCATACCACTAATCAGACCAGTGATCGGTTGGGTTCCACATCCTCCCTCTTGCCATTCAGGACAAGGCCTATGATTCACTAAGTCCAGTATTCTGTCTCTGGCAGATGCATGCAAGAGGGCCTCAAAGGAAAATGAATGCCTCACCCCCTCCATAAACTCAACTATTTATCAAGATTAGATGAGAATGGGAGTGGGTGACATTGCTTCTTTATCTCTGAAGAGAATCAACTGTCCTTCATAAAAGCATCTCACTAAAGAAGGGAAGGGGAGCAGAGATGCTGTGATTATTTTACCTTCTTGTCATATTTGGCTTGGCGCTGTCTCTGGACTGTGTCACGCCTTTTGTCTTCATCAATCTGGGGAACAAAGACACCTCATTAACCAGTGCTTATGATATACTCCACTTGGCAAGCACCAGACTGCAGAAAGTTACTGGGGATTAATGCCAAAATTACTGAGGATTAATCTCATTCCTCTTCTGCACAGTGTGCAGGAGGTGAAAAGACAATGTTTTTAATCAGTTTTAAACAAATACTTTTACTACTGTCAAAGTCCAAATGGCAGTCGCTGTTTGTCTAACACTAAACCTCAATAGTGCAGAGACTCTGAGCCACCTCTTCCTCCGCAGGGATATCATGTCCTGCCTACCTTCAGACTGACATGGCTTGTCTCATTGGTCTCCAGAGGCAGAATCTTGTCAGGTGGTATGTGAGACCATTTCTTCTGCCGAAGTGCAATATCTCTTCTGTACTTCCTGTGAAACAAAGAGAACCTATTTCATTAACATTATTTTATCAAACAACTGGAATCCATACTGCTAAGTGTAGTGGGGAATCTTGGAGAATTTGACAGGCTCCCAAGCACTAACTCCTGTACTCTCTTCTTCATGCATTCCTGGAGAGTCTGCTCCTAGAGTTCCTAGCTTTGAGGCCTGCAAGGGAGAAAAGCTCTCTCCATTACTTACTCATTTTTTTTTTTTTTGGACTGTAGAGAAGTCCTGGATCTCCGAGGTTTCAGGTCTATAAATCTAAGGAGTCAATGCAGGAGAGGTATTGCTGGGAGGTTGCTGCCTAATTCTTCACATTTACACACAGGGGAAGTTACCATAGAATGAGTCTATGGTAGCTTATACCTTTTACTTTTCTGTGCTATTGATCGTCCTCTGAGGGCAATCCCAGTGGCAAACATGGATCTGATGAGCCCTGACAGTAAGGCTCTTGCAGAAATGAGTTGTGCTATCCAGGAAAAGTCAACGGGGAGGGAACAGAATGACTTCTTGTGCAGGGACTTTACCTCTGGCAGATTCCCCAATTACGTGATTATTATATAGGGGAAACAATAATCCTTGGAACTGGGGCATGGAGTACCCTGTCTTTTCTGACCTCCCTCAACAGAAGAATGATAAGAAAACTGAAATAGAAAAGCAATTCATTGGAATTTCCACTCTTCTAAGCAGGTTATTCCTGTGTAAAAAAATACATGAGCCCCACATATTGGTTAGTGGAATGCTGACAAATCCTGAAAAAATGATTGGCAGCTGAGGAATGCTCTGGACCACTGAAGATTCTGGGAAGCTGACCAGCATAAATACTCTATGTTTCTAACATATTTTAACTGCCATTGCTAAGGAGAAAGGGGAATGGAATGTCCATTCCTGGCTGTAAATATTTTTTCTGATTTTAGTATGGAATGTTGAGCTGCTTTTGTACTATCTTAATTTACCAATAGGAGCACCAGTCAAAGTTCTGAAAAATTGAGATAATGGAGCTCTAGTTATCATGGGTCTCACTGTGTCTTCTGAGTTCTCCATATGAAGCTCTCACAGCATTCAAAAATAGAGATATCATAGAGGAGAAATTTTAGGATGATTAAGAAAACCTTAAATTGTGGAAAATTCCCATTACATAATCTTAACAAGAAAATTCTATGAACTATGAATAAATTAACTAATCCCAGTACAAAAGATAAAAATAATTTTTATTTATTAGTACCTAAACACTTATTGGACAGGAATAACATTTCCCATGTCGAATACTGGTATTGTGAGTTTTGAGGATTTAGGATTGATTTGTTTACTTGGAAGCCAGAACTACCCAGAAAAGTGTGGCATACTGGATGAGATATAAAAAAAATGACTGCTGCTTTTGTTCATTTTCTTGCCTAATGGATCCTTAGGACTACTGTTATATTCTAAAAGAGATCAAACTTACTAGAGCAGGAGATTATTGCACAATCAAAACTAGGGACAGAAGCTCTCCATTTAAGTCGGGTTGCTTGTGGAACTTGGCTCTATTGATACGATATGCAAAATTGGTATGGGGATGTAGACAGTTGTTAACCAGGGAATTACATGGCTGGCAAAAGAGAATGCCATTATCAGGTGGTATTCCTTGACAATTATGAGGTGATCCACTGCATCGTCTGAATTAGCTAGGGCTGTGAAGTTTGGTAACATTTCTATATTCAAAAAGTAAATTCTTTAGAAAAAAAATAGCAAGAGTTGATTCTGAGGAATCCCCAGAATTTTTTCTGCATTGGAAGATCTCAGAGACCACAGTGTTGGGTGTGACATAACATTCTAAATAGAATTTAATGATTAATACCTTTGCCTCTTAATAGATTCACTGGAACAGATTCAGGAGGAATAGCAGCACTTCTGGCAGCAGTGCAAAAGGTTTGGAAATAGCTGTATGCCAAATTTCTGCTAATGCTCCAAGAAATAAACAAATACAGATTAACTCTGTTGGCATGTTTATTCTTAAGTTTGGGAACAATAAGCTCTTCTGTTTCTTGCATACAGCTGACATCCAATCATGGACTGACTACAATTTGGATTTTTACCTCATAAAAAGTGTTATCTAGCAAGGCGAACACATCAGGTAAAAATGACAAAGATTACAGTGTGCTACTAATCAGTCTTTCATGGAATCCAATTTTCTTGTTGTCTCTGGAGTCCTTTGATCTGTGGAAAAGGAGTCATCCAAGCTACTAAAGGCTCAGGTAAAATATACATCTTTGAAACCACCAGAAACAATGGTGCTGAGTCCTGTGAATATAAGATGTACTGGAAATGGGTTGAGATTTTTTGTCTGAGAGGATTATAGAGTGGATTTCAGTTATACAACAATCTAGCCAGAAAAATTTAGCCATAGAAAAAGAGTGTGAACAAGCTGCAATGAGGCAGGAGGCGTCTGGGAAAACAGTAAGGGCACGTCCACATAGCAAGGCTCAACTCAAAATAAGGTATGCAAACTGATCTAAATCAACTGCGTAGTTTATTGGGAGTGTCTACACAGTACTTATTTTGAAATAGAGCACTCTTCCTCCAATTTCCCTTATTTCTCATACAATGAAGGTTACAGGAGTCAGAGTAAGAAGTCCTCCAACTTGAGAGTATTTTGACATTATTGCAAAATAAACTGCCTGCTGTAGACGCAGACTAAGTTATTTCAAAATAACGCTATTTATTTAGAAATAATGTTGCTGTGTAGATGTACCCTAAGACAGAAAGTGGGTCTAGAGACTCTGGCACCAAAATTTTCTGGTGTTTTTATTTGTGCAATGACACAAGATAGAGTTATCCTTCCAGAATGAACTTTATCCAGAAGGATAAAGAAACATGGTAGAATAATATAAAGTGTGAGCAATACGTGATAAAAAGTCTGAAGATTGGCCTTGTCCTCACAAAGATATTTTCTGAGTATGTGTGTGTGCCTTTTCTAATGGGCAAAATAGGCCTATCTGTCATGGCTACCACTTGAGCATCTGGATCATTTTTCAAAGCAGAGTGTGCTGAATGCAGGTGCCATGCAAGTTGTGTGCATGGAGTGGCACACACAGAGAAACCAGTAAGAACTCTGCTGATGGGTGGGACATAATAAGACAAATGTTCAAGGAGATACCAAACAACCTATATCCAGAAGCAGCAAATGGAGGAGAGAAGAAGGATGGCAATGGTACCTCAACACCAGAAGAGCGATGATCAGAACCAATACCACGGTCCCTGTGAGTGCAAAGACAGCAATAGTCAGGATGTCCAGGCCTGCAAAGAAGAGAAATGGGAAAATATAAAAACTGAGAGAACACTGAACACGTATCAAAAAATACATACCCAGGGCCTGATGCAAAGCCCGTTCACATTAGTGGAAGACTGGCCTCCAGTTAGGAAAGCGGAAGATCAGGTCACCAATAAATACATTTACCAAGAAGATATGCATGAAGACTCACAAGGTGTCACACTGCCAAACCACCTGAAACATGAGTCTCAATGATAGAAGCCTACATGATTCCAAACTCCTTTTTCAATAATGTGACTGGGTGATATCTGAAATGGTAATATTACATTACCAGTTTCCTTCTTGAGACTCTGCTACTCTCTTGTGGCTGATGATAGTATAGCATGCTAAAGAATATTACACCACACATTAATACCATGTATTCAGATTCCTAAAGAACAAGAATAAAATTTATGTTGGGAGTCCATAGACCTCATCCAGAGATGGGTAGAGTGAAAGCCTTAATTGCAGGGAATGTGATGGGAAGAGTAGCAGCATTGGATAAGCTGTTGCAAATTACACACTATAAAGTGCTATGTTTTACAAGTGGCACCTCCCAAAACTGGAATTATCTGGTCCTGCAATATCGGTGGTCCAACATGACAATGGATGTTCCTGAATCAGAGAAGCCCATAGCCTAGTAACAGGAGGGCAATCCAGGAGGGGCTGGGCTGAAGCAGCGGGCTGCGGTAGGGGCTGGAAGGCCCCGACAGCCCGCGGCAATGGGACCGGGTCAGGGCAGCCCCTGGTAGCGCAGGATTGGGCCAAAGCCCCAGGCAGCATGTGGAAGTGGAGCCAGAGCCTGTGACCTGCTACGGGGCAGGAGCCTGAACTCCAGGCAGCCCACAGCAGTGGGACTGGGGCCAGGGATGGTGGCAGGTCCCAGCAGCATGGGGCCAGAGCTCCAGACAGTCCACAGAAGCAGGGCCAGAGCCCACAGGCTGCTGCAGGGCTAGGACTGGGGCCCAAGCATAAGCTTATCCGGTAGTTGACTGGAGTATCAACTACTCACTTCCCCGCTTGCTGCCTCTCAGAGGCGGCAGGGGGGAGGGGGAAGACAGCTTAAAAGCCAGTTTCCCCTACCACTTTCTCTGTGATGCTGCCTGGCCCCCATCCCCCACCCCGAACAATGATTTAAAGGATGGGTTACAAACCACAGTTAGTAGCGCGGTAGTGTTGCATAAGGATGTTAAATTGTGCTTATCTGGCTAATCATGTGGTCGATACAACTTGTATTGACTACACGATTAGTCGATAAGGACCGCTTATCAGAGCCACAGCAGAAGTATTTCCAGGTGCTGGCTTGAGCAGTCCCAGCTTGTGTTGGCTCCAGGGCCATCGATGCTGCGGCTCTGCATTTTAATTGTAGTAAGAGCAGCCGGACTCTTACTACATTTAAAATGCAGAGGCGCAGCATAGGTGGTTCGCAGAACCGACATAAGCAAAGACTTCTCAGTCCCAGCTAGAGCCGGCTCCTGGAGCTACCCCTGCTGTGGCTGTGCAGAGCGGTCCTTATCAACTAATCGTGTAGTTGATACATATTGTATTGAATACACAGTTAGCCAAATAACTGCAATTTAACATCCTTAATTTAAGTTCTAAGATGGTGGAGGTACTATTGTCTGGGCAAAAAAAGCACAAACCTTGCAAATGTAAAAAAATTAAAAGTTAGGGAGACACTTGCAATGCAACATTAACTCTTTCTCTTTGGTCCATCACAATAGCATTACACTTCACTTAACACTATCACTTGTATTCTCCAGTATGATGTCTTCCAGTTAACCATCCTGTACAACACAGATGAACTGTGCCACAACCAGAACAGTGAGGGGCCTGGCAGATGAACAGAAACAATCATCTGAAGTTATACTAGATGCATAAAAAAATGACAGGTTAAGTTAGAGTACTGTTATAGACCCAGCTCCTAATTGAGAGTCACTCTCTGTGACAATTAGGATTGAGTGGCTACATTGCACGATCAGTGTTATCTTAACTGTGCACAAGCACGTTTAATCAGGGACCAGTTTTAGTAGGTATCTCACCGGTGCTTGGAATGTCATTAGGCAGCTTTCCGTTCTTCCATATGAAAGATGGGCTGGAAGTAATTGGTTTGGTCTTATTCTGGTGAGTGTCATACTCCAAAAGGGTTTGGAACTGTGAAAATATAGAAATGAATTTTATTAAAAATCTCATGCTCAGTCCCTTTCCTTTGATTCCTCCTCCCATAATTCATGTCACAACTCTCAGGGTATGTCTACACTACAGTGCTATTTCAAATTAACTTAATTCGAAATAGTTAATTTGAATTAAGCTAATTCGAAATAACGCATCTATACACAAAAACTATTTTGAAATAGCGTTTTGCTATTTTGAAATAGCGCGTCCACACTGAGTGGACCCTGAACCGAAGTTACATCAGGTTAGGACTTAGTGTGTGGGGCTGCTGCCTGAGGCTAACTGAGCTCTGTGCTTAAAGGGACCCTACCCCCACCCCAGACAGACAGTTCTCAGGGTTCCCCGCTTGCTTGTCTACCTCGATGAGGAACAGCAAAGCAGTCCTGTCTTGGAGTGCCCTGAGTGCGCGAACTCGGGACACCACAGCACTTGACCACATGGATCCAGAGCTGTCCCTGGGCATGCCGGTGTGTCTCGTGGAGTCGTTGCCATCAGCCCAGCTGCACTTGCTACAGGCTGCCATCCGGGGATCCAGGAGGCCCTGTGGGAGAGCGTCCATCTCGAGAAGCCCTCAGAGCCTCCCCGGTCCTCCCCACCGGGGGCTCATGCCCCATTCCTCCCTCATGTCCTTCCACTTACCCCTCCCTAACCCCCCTTCCTGATGTCAAATAAAAGACATGTATGTTCAAAAATAGAAACTGGGTTTATTGAACAAAACTGGGGGGGAATGGACCTCTGGGGAGACTGGGAAAAGGAGGTGGGAGAGGGGAAGAGAGAGGGTGGGAGAGCGGTGGGGGAACCCTGGGAGGAGGAAGCTGGAAGGGGGAAGCAAGGGGAAAAAGGGGGAGGGGAAGCTCAAGGCTCAGGGTTGGGGGTCTCACCAGATCAACATGACTTTCATGCAAACCTGCTCCTGGGTTCACCTGTGGCCTTCGGTGGCCAGGCTGGCAGCTATCCTACCATAGACGGCCGTGTTCCTCCGTCTAGGGCTGAGATCGTGGAAGTTGGTGGCATCCCCTCCAAACCTGAATAAGGTCCATGATCTCCAACCTGGACCAGGAAGGCACCCGCCTTCTCCAGCCCCTGTCAGGCTCCTGGGAGCTGGCACACTGCTCCTGGGGAGCGGTGGAGGGCTGGCTACCAGTGGCTTGCTGGCTCATGTTTTGGGGCTACTGGAGCAGGGGCCCCAGTGGCCACTGCTAGCTCTGGGCTGGCAGGCTTGGAGCTGGCACAGGCACTATGGCGAGGGTCTACCCCTTTAATGGCTCCGGGGCTGGGGGAGAGGAGAGTAAGTTTTCCTGGTTGTGCTCAGGGTGGCCACCAGAGCTCCCTGGGAAGGGCTGGAGGCCCCCTATTTCGAATTAAGTGTCTACACATTACTTAATTCGAAATAGTTATTTTGAATTTGGTGTTACTCCTCGTAGACTGAGGTTTACCAAATTCGAATTAAGTGTTCCACTATTTCAAATTTATTTCAAAATAGCGGTTTGGCTGTGTAGACGCTATTAAAGTTAATTCGAAATAACTGCTGTTATTTCGAATTAACTTTATTGGGTAGACATACCCTCAGCAAAATAGACTCATGCCCTCTACTAAAGTGATGTGTCACCCTCTAGCCTGGTCCATGTCTCTGTTTTTCATATTCTGGCTGTACTACTACTCTGTCCTTCTCAGAGGTACAGCAATCCCACAAAGTCTCTGGTATTTTTGACTACATCATTCTGCCAAGTCCTCAGAGTGATTTCTTTCCCCACTTGCTTCGTTGCACTGCTGTGAATGGGCATGCCCTCACACATGTCCACACAGCAAGGCTAAAACCGAAATAAGCCACGCAACGTGAGCTACATCAATTGTGTAGCTTAAGTCAAAATAGCTTATTTCGGCTTTTTTCGCTGTCTACACAGCAAGAAGTCCGAGAAAGAGCACTCTTCCTCTGACTTCCTCATTTTAGGAGAAGTAAGGGGTTACAGGAGTCAGATTAAGAAGTCCTCCAGCTCGACATTATTTCAACATGACATCGAAATAACTGCTTGTAGTGTAGACATGGACTATGTTATTTCAGAATAACACCAGTTATTTTGAAATAACGCTGCTGTGTAGACATAGCCTGGCAGAGATTAAACAAACAAGCTCTTTGGGGCCTGTTCAATACCAACAAGGCACACCGGCAAGGTTTGTTCTGTCTGGAGTGGGGAAAGCTGCCCTACCACTGAAAGCCAAGAGAGGCTCACTGAAAGACAGCAACCAGTTTCACTTTTCCCAAAGTTGCATAACTGAGCCACAAAACAATATACCCCATGAGGAGGGACTGGAGATACAGCCCATCTAGACTAAGCCCAAAGAGCTGATCCAGGAAGACTGCCTGAGTTCTAGGCCATCCTTACTCTTCTTTAATTTCACACAAATTTCCCTCTCCCAGAAGGGAAGAAAGAGATGAGAGGGCTCCTCATTTGTTTGCTTGCTCAAAGAACCCCTTGGGCAGCTGCCAGGAGGGTGAGAAAGATGTTACAAGGACCTGAAGTGGGATCTGGGAGGGACCAGAGGGGATCCTTGGCCCCAACACCTTCACTACACTGACAAAAGCGACGAGGAGTCCTGTGGCACCTTATAGACTAACTGAAGTGTAGGAGCATAAGCTTTCGTGGGCAAAGACCCACTTCGTCAGATGCATGTAGTGGAAATTTCCAGAGGCAGGAATAAATATGCAGGCCAGGATCAGGCTGGAGATGATGAGGTGGATCCAATCAAGGAGGATGAGGCCCACTTCTAGCAGCTGATCTGGAGGTGTGAATTCCAAGAGAGCAGAAGCTGCTTTTGTAGTTAGCAAGCCATTCACAGTCTTTGTTTAATCCAGAGTTGATTGTGTCAAACTTAAAGATGAACTGTAGCTCAGCAGTTTCTCTTTGAAGTCTGGTCCTGAAGTTTTTTTGCTGCAGGATGGCTACTTTTAGATCTGCAATTGTGTGTCCAGGAAGATTGAAGTGTTCCCCTACAGGTTTTTGTATGTTGCCATTCCTAATATCAGATTTGTGTCCATTGATTCTTTTACGTAGGGACTGTCCTGTTTGGCCGATGTATATAGCAGTGGGGCATTGTTGGCACATGATGGCATATATTACGTTGGTGGATGTGCAGGAGAATGTACCAGTGACAGTATGGCTGATCTGGTTAGGTCCTGTGATGGTGTTGCTGGTGTATATATGTGGGCAGAGTTGGCACCGAGGTTTGTTGCAAGGATTGGTTCCTGAGTTCGAGTTATTATGGTGCGGTGTGTAGTTGCTGGTGAGAATATGCTTCAGGTTGGCGGGTTGTCTGTGGGCAAGGACTGGCCCATCCTGCAGCAAAAAAACTGTAGCCATCCTGCAGCAAAAAAACTTCAGGACCAGACTTCAAAGAGAAACTGCTGAGCTACAGTTCATCTTTAAGTTTGACACAATCAACTCTGGATTAAACAAAGACTGTGAATGGCTTGCTAACTACAAAAGCAGCTTCTGCTCTCTTGGAATTCACACCTCCAGATCAGCTGCTAGAAGTGGGCCTCATCCTCCTTGATTGGATCCACCTCATCATCTCCAGCCTGATCCTGGCCTGCATATTTATTCCTGCCTCTGGAAATTTCCACTACATGCATCTGACGAAGTGGGTCTTTGCCCACGAAAGCTTATGCTCCTACACTTCAGTTAGTCTATAAGGTGCCACAGGACTCCTCGTCGCTTTTGCAGATTCAGACTAACACGGCTACCCCTCTGATACTACACTGACAGTTATAATACACTTCCATTTCAGGTCTGGCTATCACACTCCAACCCAGATCCCTCTAGTTCCTCTCTCACATATCATAGAATATCTTCTTAATTGAATCACATACTTTCTTGTCTGTTGTTGTATACAGTAAGGAGAAATTCACATCAAGATCTCCAAATTCATCCAGGGTTACTGGACCCAGTGCACCTGCAGATACAAGGAACAGATCAATAAAGGAGCCTGACACTTTCCTACGATGCATTAATACATGACAGGAAGAGAGGTGGAAATTAAGAAACTTCTGACATTCGGGTTTTTCTTCCCATCCACCTTCTGCATCCACACTAGTGGGTGCTAAGAAGGGTACTCATCAATTTATTTAGCCTCTGATTCTCCCTTATTTCATTACTACGTTTGAGTTAAAAATACGAGTTTAACATTGGTAAAAGGAGCAGAACTGACAGTACTGAAGAATGAAGTTCTCCTTAACCTCAGAAAAGATACAACTCACATTGCAACCAGTCTGTTTTACTTCCATATACTGATCTTACTAAAGTGCCTTGACGGGACCAATTCTAGGTGTAAGAATGAAACTCTGCTTCTACCTTTGGTCTCAAAGTCTGTCATCAAAGAGAGATATTTTATGATCTTTTCTATTGGCTTCACTTGGGCTTCATCTTTTGAGGGATTCCTGTTTCGAGCTAATAACCTCATTCTCTAAGGGTATGTCTACACTACAGTGTTATTTCAAAATATCTTATTTTGAAATAGTTAATATTTGCTATTTCGAAATAGCACGTTCACACTGAGTGGACTGTGAATTCATTTAAGGCTGGCCGGAACCAGTTCCAGCAGGGCACCAGGTCAGGACTTACCTTGTATGGCTGCTGCCTGAGGCTACCTGAGGTCTGTCCCTAAAGGACTCCCCCACCTCCCCCGGACAGCCGGTTCTCAGGTTTCCCTGCTTGCTTGTCTACCTCAATGAGGGACAGCAAAGCATTTTTGTCTCGGTGTGTACAACACAGATGAACTGTGCCACAACCAGACATCACAGCACTCTGCAACATGGAGCCAGAGTTCAGGACATCACAGCACTCTGCAACATGGAGCCAGAGCTGTCCCTGGGCACTCTGGTGCTTCTCTTGGACACACTGCTGCAAGCCTGGCTATACTTGCTGCAGGCTGCCATCCGGGCGGTCCATCGGGGGGCTATCAGTATTCAGGAGGCCATGTGAGAGAGCTGCCATCCTGAGGAGCACTAACAGTCTCCCTGGTCTGCCCCACTGGGGGCTTGTGCCTCATTCCTCCCTCACGTCCTTCCATTTACCCCTCCCAGTCCCCCTTCCTGATGTACAACAAAATACACGTTTTTTTCATAAACACCAACTGTCTTTATTTAACAAAACTGGGCGGAGGGGAATGAAACTCTAGTGAGACTGGGGAAAGTAGGCAAGAGGAGAGAGGGTGGGAGAAGGGAGGGGGAAACCTGGGCGGAGGAAGCTGGATGGGGGAAGCAAGGGGAAGAAGGGGGAGGGGAAGCTCAGGGGTGGAGGTCTCGCCAGGCCAACTGTCTCCCAGCATCGCGGATGTGGGTGCCTCGGCATCCCCGGGGAGATGGGGAGGAGTGGAGGGAGAAGCAGGAGGGGGAGAAGAAGTGGGAGGAGGAGCGGTAGCTGGGGAGGCAGCAGGGGCTGGAGCAGCAGGAGGCAGCACGCTTTGCACCAGGGTCTGCAGGTGTTGGCAGATGGCACGGCCCTGGGCAAGGGAAGGTGGATGGGGGAAGCAAGGGGAAGAAGGGGGAGGGGAAGCTCAGGGGTGGAGGTCTCGCCAGGCCAACTGTCTCCCAGCATCGCGGATGTGGGTGCCTCGGCATCCCCGGGGAGATGGGGAGGAGTGGAGGGAGAAGCAGGAGGGGGAGAAGAAGTGGGAGGAGGAGCGGTAGCTGGGGAGGGCCCGGGGCAAGCTGCTCCCGCTGGAGCTCCAAGTCTTCTTGCACCCAGTTCTGGAGGGTGCGGTGCAGGGCTCGCAGTTCCCCCAAGTGCTGCTGTTGATACCCCTTCGCTGCACAGGTGGTCCTGCGGAGCCCTCAGGTGCGGTAGCATGTCCTGGGCGGGGTGGTGCACCCTGCACGCACAGCTGGTGCGGCTGTGGAGAAACAAGAGAAGCGGTCAGTTCTCCCTCGGGACACAGTGGGTGAAGCCCAGCCACACTCTGCAAGGTGAGGATGACCGTGCCCTGCACCATCAGAGCCGATGTGCTTGCACACAGGCCATGGTCAGAATGTCCGGCTATCCCCAGGAGTGGGAGCTGCCCCGAGACCACACCCATGCCCCTGTACTGTGTATAGTGTGGCTGAGGTGGGGGGGACATGTCCCCTGCCTCTGTGTAGAATAGCCTTGTGGAGGAAGGGCGTCCTGCTGTGTCCCACCCCAGGATCAGGAGCAGGTCATGTCTCTTCACACATGCGTGTGGCTAACAGGCCAAAGCCCCTGTGTGGCAGCCAGCTGGGGCCACGTGCCCAAGGGAGGCATGGCACATGCTCGCACTTGCACAAGTTGCTGCATGATCCGTGGTCAGCAAGGCCCAAGCACGCGGTCCCTGGTCTCCCTCTCCGCCCCCCCAACAAGGGGACAGTGATGGCACTCACATGTTGTTGCCTCCCCAGATGACACTGGTGATGGGTCTGCTGGGACAGCTCGGGGGTCCTGGCTGCGTGGCACGCTCCCTCTGGGCTCCTGCAGCTCCTGGCGCTCCTCCTCCATGCCCTGGTCAGGGCCCTCTGCTCCAGGATCGATGACCCCCAGGGTGGCACAGACCGTCCCACCCGCCAGGATGCGATCCAGGGCGTCAAAATAGGGGCAGGTGTCTGCCCCTGTGTGGGAGCTGCCCCGTGTGGCCCTGGCATAGGCCTGCCGCAGCTCCTTCAGTTTCATGCGTGCCTGTTCCTGGGTGCGCATGTGACCTTTGATGGCCAGGCTGGCAGCCAGCCATCTATAGACGGCTGCGTTCCTCCGTCTAGTGCAGAGATCATGGACATTGGAGGCATCCCCCAAACCTCAATCAGGTTCATGATCTCCTCACTGAACCAGGAAGGCTCCTGCCTTCTCTGACCCCTGGCAGGCTCCTGGGAGCTGGGGGACTGGGCCCAGGGAGCAGTGGAGGGCTGGCTGGCACTGGCTGCCTGGCTCATGGTGGGGCCACTGTGTCAGGGGCAGTGACTGTTGGCTCTGTGCTGGCAGGCTTGCAGCTGGCACTGTGGCCAGAGTCTACCCCTATAAGGGATCCGGGGCTTGGGAAGAGGAGAGGAGTTTTCCTGGTTTGGCCCAGAGTGGCCACCAGGGCACACTGGGAAGGGATGGAGGCCCCCTATTTCGAAATAAGCATCTACACAGCTCTTATTTCGACTTTAGCTATTTCGAATTTGGTGTTTTTCCTCGTAGAATGAGGTCTACAAATTCGAAATAAGCGCTCCGCTATTTCAAATTTATTTCGAAATAGCAATTTGGCTGTGTAGATGCTAGGAAAGTTATTTCGAAATAATGGTATAGTGGTTTGCTGTGTTATTTCGAAATAACAAAATAGCGGTTTGCTGTGTAGACATACCCTAACTCAGGATATGTTAATGTTCTAAACTAAGGATTTTTGGGAGGAAGCTTCAAAAGCATTCATTGTTAACCTAATTCTGCACCTTCTGAAGTAAATGGTGAAATTGATGCTGATGCTTTATGTTATCTATTATACATATACCCCTGCATTACCATCCAGAACAATGACAAAAGAAGAACTTGCTACATTTGCGGGCCATAGGGGAATGAAGCTTTGAGATAGATTTGGTTGTGTTGAGCCCAAAATAAAACCTGGATGCCAGTCAGATGACAGGGAAGAGTCTAGTGGACTCTGCAATGCACTTGGTTGCATCACTGTTACACATCCTTTGGTCTACCCAGGCAATAGACCCATGTAGACAATTCACTCCTCTATACCTACATCAGAAAAGTACAGTATTATCCAAGGTAATAAGGCTATGGAGTTTAATATATATCATCCTACTCTGTGCCGATCAGGGTGTGCCTTTCCCACTAACAGAAATATCGATCCTAGGTCATTTCTTTAGCCTTTACACCTGGTGAAGAGCCTGCAGCCAGGAGAGATTTTGGCCCCCAAACATTTTGGCCCTAAATTGAAATTTATACATTTATAAAATGCTTCACCTCTTGTTTTATATGTGACACATGGGGAGTGGGATTCTCTGTATATGGACACGGGCATCTGTTAGCCTAGGTAGGGGAAGGCTTGCCTTCCCAAACTGTCAGACATGGTTCTGTCCACATTCTGCCCCCAGAACACCTGCTGTAGGCATTGTGTGGGCAGAGTGTTGCTGCCCCCAGTGCCCACCCTCCCTGTGTTCTGGGCTGGGCAGGCTGGAGCCAAGCAGTCTCCTCCTTCCCTGGTGCTCTGAGGGCAGGGAAGACTGGAGTCACACAGATTCTTCCCTCCCTGGTGCTCCGGAGGCTGGGACGACTGGGGCATGCATATGTCCCCTCCCATCTCTTTCTCTCCCCATGTTGTGGGGGGCCCACTTGGCATCCTCCCCTCCCCGTAGTGGGTGCAGGGCCTTAGCAGAGGGGGTGGGACTGTAGGTGGGGCTAGGGGCAGCCTCCCCTAGCCTCAGCTGCAATCAATCATCCATTTTTATAGATATTATTTAGTCTTTTTTTCAGTGCTGATTATCATATTTCAAAAATCAATTGAACAAAACAAGAAGGAAGACAACTCATTGCAGAATTTGAACCAGTTGAGTGGTAAGGAAACTTCCCCTCATGCCCTCCTGGAAACCAAACTCCCTCTCCCTCTCAGTGAGCTGTTGCTCAGGATTGTACTTGGTTACCTTTAAAAGTGATGTTCCGAAACTGATCAATGAAAACACTAGGACTCTCAATTAGCTGTTGGGAGCTCAGAAGTTTCTTCAGGGCATGTCCAAAGAGCAAGACTCCATCCAAATAGCCAACAATATAGTCATTATTCAGCTAGAATGGAGGAAAAAAAGAAGTTGGCAACATATTTGTTTATACCTCCATCCAAAACTACAGCACAGTTGGGGTATTAGCTCAGCAGAAACTTCAGGAATAGAACAACAGAAGCTGCTGCGGGTCAGAGTGTGGTACATTGGTAGTGGTGTGAGGGAGGAAGCACCTAGGCTTGGAAAAATGGGGTGCTGCAAGGTGCGATTGATATGTAAAGCAGAGTGAGGTGAGAGAGTCACAGGACTATAGTAAGAGGGTACTGCAGATCAAGCCCTGCCATAGCAGACACTTCCTGAGAACTGTTGTATTCTGAATCTTCCATGCCTTGTGTTTTAGTTCGCTAGTCTATAAAACTTGATGGCTCTTTGCAGGTTTCTAGAACCCTGCCAGGGAGACTTGCTAATATTAAACTGACATAAGGCACTGATCCTGCATGACTCTTTGCTGATGCAACTAAGGTAGCAGAGAGAACCCAGAACAGAAATGCAGATGCACAAGCTCCAAACAAAGCTGGATCTGCTGTGACATTATAGCTGGGGCTACGTCTACACTACAGAGGTTTTTTTGGAAAAACAACTGTTTTTCCAAAAAAATTTCAATTACGTCGCTCTTTCAGCCAGCTGGGCCTGGGCTACTCCCAGCCCTTTAGTGTGGGGCTTGTTCGCCCCATCACACATGCCTTTTTCCGAAAGAGCTCTTTCGGAAAAAGGCATGTGTGATGGGGCGAACAAGCCCCACACTAAAGGGCTGGGAGTAGCCCAGGCCCAGCTGGCTGAAAGAGCTCCGCTCTTACAGCCCTGCTGGGCATGCTCCCAGTAGGGACAGTATATAAAGCAGGCAATTGCCCAGCAGGAGAGAAGGCAACTAGAGGTTAGGAGGAGCCAGGCTGCAAACCTGGTGTTCGTGTGACAATTCGGACCAGACTGAAGGCCAGTGCTGGTCCCCGGGAGTGAAGCCGGCCACAACCCCGCAGAGTAACGGGAACACCTACCCTGCCGACCCCAGCCCTGGTAAGGACCACCGCACAGGCGGACAGACTAAGAGGGGTGCCAGGGTGGTAGGAAGCAGCCCAGGGCAGAGGTTTCCTAATTCAGCTCGGTGCGTAGCAGTTGGATTCCCCACCGAGCCGGCAGGACCTAGAGTCCCTGCCTACAGGGCCCTGGGCTGGGACCCAGTGGAGAGGGAGGGCCCGGGTCCCCCTACCACCCTTTGCCGCACCTGGGGAATCACTCTGGCCAGGAGAGGCTTCTTCCCCAGAACTAGGCCGTGGGTACCGTATATGCCCTGAGAGAGGGGCCGAGACTTTTGGGACTTTGGGTACTGTATATGCCCTGAGAGAAGGGCCTGGACCGAGACACAGGCCAGTAGAAGGGGGCCGCAACCCCCGTCAGGGGTGTGCCCCTTGACAGCATGTATGGAGAGAGAAGAGGGAGTTATTTTGGAAGAAAAAGAAAGAGGAAAAAGCCCAGGTGCCCTGGTGGCCATTCCATCCATAGTAATCACAGTTTAAATGCAAGATAGTGTCCTCTTCAAATCCCCCACTTATTCTCCTTGGGGGGCAAGTTGTTTCATCTCTGTTTTCCCACAACTCCCCCAAATTCCAGACCCTACTTTTCCCCTGGCTTCATCTGACTCTCAGCCCTTGTTTCCTCCACTATCTGTCTCTCTCAAACTTGGCCACTGCTCCCTTTTCCTCACAGCCCCACAACATCTATAAATACTGCCTGAAATATGTAGTATTGCTACTCTAAAAAACATCTGATAGATTTGAGCTAGAGTCCCTATTTTCCCAGATCTCTCCCAAGTCTGATGAACTAGACACTAACAGGCCAATTAAAAAGTTTGAACTTAGTTTGGGCTTCATAATGTAGCATAACTAGCTTGTACCTTTGCCTTGTGATGTTGTATCCCTTCTGCCACCTTACATCGTGATGGCAGACTATAGAAGGAGAATGAGAAGTAATCCTGCACTGTCATTGCATGAAGAGCTAAATGCTGCTGTATCATGCTGCTCTGTTGCAATGTGATTAATTTGTTTTGTGAGATGCATATGTAACCATCACTGCTCTCAGCTTAGACTGTAGAGCTCACTCATTCTTATCTCTTGCTGTAGGTGGTCCCAGTGCCACTACATGGGACAGTGAACGACACCCACTAGGTGTGTGGGTTACACGTACAGTCAATAGCAGATTTTTTTTCTAGAAGTGAACTGGATTAACTGACAGGGCATTAAATAGTATGGTTACCAGGTAGTCTTCTGTGGAATTGGTGGAATTCGGTCTGTAACTGGGTGGTGGCAGCGTCAGAACAAGGACATTCTGCATATAATTGGCGGATGTGGTGTTTTCCTGAAAGTATATGTTACTGCAAAGAAAAAACACAAGTGCAATAGGACAACGATAACAGGAACAGGGGAGACCTCTAACTCTGAATACCTAGGGAGACCTTCCCCTCTCCCCCAAAGGGAACTGTTGGGGTGTGTCTAGACTACATGCCTCCTTCGACGGAGGCATGTAGATTAGCCAGAGCGGAAGAGGGAAATGAAGCCGCGATTAAAATAATCGCGGCTTCATTTAAATTTAAAGGGCTGCCCCGATCTGCCGACAAACAGCTGATCGGCAGATCGGGGCAGTCTGGACGCGATGCGCCGACAAAGAAGCCTTTCTTCATCGGCACAGGTAAACCTGGTTTCACGAGGCATACCTGTGCCGATGAAGAAAGGCTTCTTTGTCGGCGCATCGCGTCCAGACTGCCCCGACCTGCCGACAAACAGCTGATCGGCAGATCGGGGCAGCCCTTTAAATTTAAATGAAGCCGCGATTAAAATAATCGCGGCTTCATTTCCCTCTTCCGCTCTGGCTAATCTACATGCCTCCGTCGAAGGAGGCATGTAGTCTAGACACACCCCAGGTTACAGACTCACATGCTGGTTCTCAAACAAACGTTTTGACATTTTAAATCACTTTTCACTAGAAGATACATCCCCTTCCATTGTTCACACAGTCCCTGGGGCAACTATAGTGCTTAGTTACACAATATGGTAATATTGGAACAGATCTGAAGAGACCAGATAAAAATAAACACATATGCTTAAGTAGGTACTATTGCCCTGGTTTGTTTTTGTGCTGTTTATTTTCTCTGACTGCCTGCAGCACTTTAAACTTAGCTTTTTGGTTCTAGGACTCAGTCTGTCTATCTAGTCTCCTAACTGCTTAATACCAAGGTATTTAGGCTCCTAACTCCACTAAATCAGTCGAGTTAGGAGCCTAAATACCTTGGTAAATTTGGGTCTGGGTCACTTCTTGGTGTCTTCAGACTCTACTACAATTTCTCCAGGATATTTGGTTAATTTGTTTTTGACCTCCTCTAATTTTGGTGTCCTTTACAAATTTGATCATGGCAGAATTTACAATAAAGAAACACTTGGCCAAGGAAGCTGTTTTTCCTTAGATTGGTGAGCTGAAAGAGACTGTGGAAAGAAAACCATCAACATTTGGGATGCTTCTACACTGCACCCTTACCTTGAAATAAAGCGCTATTCTGAATCGTCCACAAGAGTTACAGGGATGCCGGAATAGCGCGCCTGTTATTTCAAAATCTATTTCAAAATAACGGGCTGCTTTAAAAATGCAGCATAGCTATTTCAGGATAATTCCAGTATCCTGAAAGAGCTCCGCAGTGTAGACGTAGCCTTGGTGATCAGCTACACTAGCAGAATGTGTCACTATTTGAAGATGGCTGCGACATCACCCCATGACAGGAGCAGCTCCACAGGCCACAGTCAGAACCACTTGCTGAAAGCATCAGTCAGAGGAGATTGACTATAAGTATCAATGGGAAAGGGCAGTATTATGCTTTTGATACAGTTGGATTGCTAAAAAAAATACCCCTCCTGTTATGAATCTCCTCCCATAACTCACATTTGATTGCTCATTCTTGTCTTTTTAACTTTCAGAATGAATTTAGTGCCAGAGTAAGAGCTTTGGAGACCAAAATCCTCTCTTTAGCCCAAGCACAGACAGCAGCAGCATTCCCTATCTCATGCACACACACTACCCTGGTCCATAAATAATATCCTCAGACTCACACTGCATTTTTCACCCTGAGGAATAACCCTGTGCTTTACAATCAGGTTTCGGATTGACCAATGGAGAAAATTCTATGGTGTCCACAGGATTTAGTAGCTCTCCAAAATCCCTCCTATCAGTGGTACTTAAGTCTTCTACATATCAACATCGATGTTTGAATCTTGGCTGGAAAAGGTCTGTTGGCCCAACTGAATTTAAATCCACAGAGATACCTGGGGAACTCCACCACTAAAGAGGGGCCTGACACAGTTACGCTCTGCTGAGTGTTTGATTTTGAATACTTTTGTGTACGAGAAGACCTGATCTGACTCAAACACAAGCAGCAGCAAATGGCAGGAGGGCACGGTAGCATTGAGGCATCTGGCCCTGTCAGAAGACCACATACTGCAGCAATAGCAGTGGTGGCGCCAAACTTCCCACTGAAGGAAGAAAAGATTATCTTATCCTCCACAGTCCAGACAGAGTAAAGATTTAGTCTGTGCTACCATGCACAGACCACCCTACTTGAAGATATTTTTAGAAAAGGTGGTGATACGGAGCCGCGTATTAATACATTTATTTTCAAAATATCTTTGTAAAGGTTGTCTATATGGCACTGGAAAAGTGCATTAGAAGGGTGTGATTTATAAAATGTTCTAACTGCCCCATGTAGACGTTACAGGCATAAACTAAAAGATTTTGTTAATAAAATCTTTTTAGCTTGTTCCAGGAGGGGCTATACAGGGCAATAGTAACACAGTTCATTAAAGTGCTTTATAAATCACACCCCTCTAACGTACTTTGCCAATGCCATATACACAAACCCTTAATGAAGAGCCCCCAAGGTCCAGGAACGTGGCTCAAGTGTCTAAGTCCAAGGCGTGTACCTTAATTAGGAGCACATCTTCCTCCCCACTCTACTGTTTACAACTATATCGAACAAAACACCACTGAAATAAAAGCAGTTGGTTGTGAGAGAGGCAAACCATTTCAGACACTAATCTGCACACTGGTGAAGGCAGGGAAATTATGGTTAAGGACATGAAGGCATCCCCCTCTGATTTTATGGAAAGTGTCATGTGATCCTCAATGTCAATAAATAGCTTACAGAACTCAATGTTTTAAAGGAGTCATCTGAAAAACACACCACTTAAGTGAACTTCACACTACTTCACTTATTCCCTTTGGAGAAGAGAAAAGATTGAGTTGAGCCTGTCAGGCTTCAACCTGTCATTGTAAGAGGTGTTTGAACCTAAAAACATAAGAATGGCCATACTGGGTCAGACTAAAGGTCCATCCAGCCCAGTACCCTCTCTGCCGACAGTGGCCAATGCCAGGTGCCAAAGAGGGAGTGAACCGAACATGTAATGATTAAGCGATATCTCTCCTGCCATCCATCTCCACCCTCTGACAAACAGAGGCGTGGAACACCATTCCTTACCCATACTGGCTAATAGCCATTTATGGACTTAACCTCCATAAATTTATCTAGTTCTCTTTTAAACCTTGTTATAGTCCTAGCCTTCACAGCCTCCTTAGGCAAGGAGTTCCACAGATTGACTATGTGCTGTATGACTATGTGCTGTCTTTTATTTGTTTTAAACCTGCTGCTGCCCATTAGTGGCCCCTAGTTCTTGTATTATGGGAACAAGTAAATTACTTTTCCTTATTCACTTTCTCCACACCACTTATGACTTTACATACCTCTATCATACCCCCCCTTAGTCTCCTCTTTTCCAAGCTGAAAAGTCCTAGTCTCTTTAATCTTTCCTCATATGGGACCAGTTCCAAACCCCTTACTTTTTTGGTTGCTCTTCTCTGAACCTTTTCTAATTCCAGTATATCTTTTTTGAGATGAGGAGACCACATCTGTATGCTGTATTCAAGATGTGGGCGTACCATGGATTATATAAAGGCAATAAGATATTCTCTGTCTTATTCTCTATCCCTTTTTAAAACAAAGTCTGTACTCTGGATGCTATGTGATCATGTGTTTTCTTTCAGGTCCTAATATGAAATTATCAAATTGCTGAATTAAAGATATTTTCTACCAGTTAAACAGATCAAGAGTACTCAATGCACTTTAGCCAAAGATGAAGCAAGATGTCCTCTTGAAAATTATATTACAGAAGCATTCCAAAATAGGTCCCAGTATATAAATGCTGTTGTAGATTATGTCTGTACAGTTTTCACCATGACATTTTTATAACCAGAAATTAGAGTAGTAAAGGGGTGGGATTTTTTTAGAAGGACTCAGCATTGGCTTAACTCTGCCCCTAATGAAGTCAGTGGCAGGTTTACCATTGTATTGAATGGGAACAGAGTTTCAACACTTCTGAAGAGCCCAACATTAACACTCCCAAACATATTAAATAGCATTAATTCCTGAAACAATGAGTCATGTTCCTTGTGGAATTGCTTCTTACAGTACAGCCATCTCAGAATCAATGTCATTCTTATATTTAGAACACCTTCATGATATGTTAGATTGTGTTTGCAAACTACATAACAGTTCTGATTTCTTGTTCAGATTGATGTTCTTGAGACCATTTTGCAGTCTGTCCCTGAGGTAAAAACTGATCCAGAGCCATCAGAAGAAGTTGAGGGAAAGCCAAAACAAACAGAATCTGAAGAAACAGAGCAGTCTAAACTGCCTGTATACCTTACCCAATTTAAGGTAAGATTTTCTTTCTTATAATTTTTACCAAGTTATAGTTGATTTCCGCTATAGATAGCAGTAAGTAAATATGTTTTCCTTTTATGCTGCGGGACTGGTACCCCCACTTGCATCAGTAATGCTACCTGGCATTTTTAAAATTGACACTGAATTACATTTTTATTGCTCAAACAGGAAATTGCCTTCAAAGAAACAGATGCTCAAGGCCACTTGTCTATTTTGTCTGTCTGCTGGGATTTTATCTCCTCTTTTCATATGTCAGACTGATAAATCCAAATCCTGTTAGCAAAAATGGTGTGTCATTACAGATCTATTATTTGACCATATGTGGGTGCTTGCTTGTTAAAACAAATGCCGTTGGTCTGACATTGTCCAGTATTTGTTGCCCATTCAGTTTGTTGTCATTAAATATGACTGTTATAGCCTCTAACTTCAATCAGGGAAGTTATCTTCCCCCACACACTCCTTTTAGTAGTAGTTTAAAGACAACAAATGTGCACAATACAAATTATAAGACTAGCGTCTGCAGTGAAAATCCATATGCACATATTATGGCCGTGTGTATTTTTTTTAGTGTATGAAAACCTATGTAAATGTATTGCAGACATTAGGATTCTGTC